CCGTGCCCTCCGGGGACAGGAATGGGTGAACATCCCCCATAGCATTGAAACACATACAAGAGCTGTGGCTGTTTAGCTAAAACCCAGGAGACTCCTCACCAATATGACCAAATAAACGTCAGACGGGAAACTTGCAGTGTCCACCTAGGGAAGGGGCCTTCATGTCCACTTTCCCGAACTATGAAGAGGGATGTGGGCTCAAGACAGACAACAGGCTCAGTCACAGAAATGCGAAGAAAGTGGCATTTCTTGCACACCTTAGTTTTTTGTTTTGTCTTGTTTTGCGTGAGATTGGGCTCCCTTCATTTATTTTTCCAGAACGGGTTAAGTGAGGAAGCGAGGGCTGGTGATGCTCTTGCCTCTGACTCTCCCTCAGGCTCCAGGTAACCAGCTCCGGGCTTCCAGCTTTGTCCTTCCCTCCGTCCCCTGCGAGCACCACCCCTCCACCTCCATGCTCTTTCCCAGCAAACCATCCACACCGTCCTGTCACTTTTCCCCCCTTCTCCTCCAGAGGAGAAAGGACGGAAGCCCGGAAATGAAGATGGGAGCAAACCAGGATCTTCATGGTCTCACTCGACCCCTGTCCTAGGGCCTTCGTTCTATGATTGAGATGAGACAGCTCCCTTCTGCGGGCGTGGGGGAGAGATGAGGTGATGGAAAGAAGGTACTGAGGAGCCACAGGCTCTGCCTGGCAGAGACGGGGACGCCGTGTCCGATGGGGACACCGTGTCTGGTGAGGACCAGGACTTTCAGAAAGCAAAGGGCAGGTGGACAAGCCCCTCCCTGATTCCGGGGTTCCTTCCTCCGGAAAACTGCTGCTCTCTGGAGCCAAGAGGGAGAGAAACAAACACACAGATAAATTAAAAACCAGAAACAGGGTGGGGGATCACACACACACAGAGCTTTTGTTCATCCCACAAATACTGACTGAGTTCCAGGCACTGTTTTAGGCTCTCTGGCAGGGTTTCTCAGGCTCGGTGCCACCGACCTGTGGGGCTGGATCATTCTTTGCCGTGGGCCGTCCTGTGCGCTGCAGGATGTGGAGCAGCATCCCTGGCCTCCTCCCCCTGGAGACCAAACGCACCCCCAAGTCATGACGCGCAAAAATGCCTCCTGGCATGGCCAAATGTTCTCTGAGGAATAAAACCACCCTGGTGGAGCGTCTCTGGGCTCCAGGCACCATGAGGAGCAAGATGCTTTGCCGCCCCTCACCAGCCTGTTTCCCTGGGAGGGAGAGATGCTCAACAAACAAGGAAGGACCCAACAGGTGCATCATGCAGGACAGAAGCAAGGGACGCAGCAAGAGAGCCCCGAAGGTGAGCAGAGACTAAAGAGAACCCAGCGCCGCCACAGGGACAGAAAGGGGGCGTGGGTAGAAATGGGGTTCGCGGGCCCAGACACACGCAGACCCAGCCTGGGGGTATACTTGAATAAACACGGGGCCTGAGACACGAGTCACAAAGAAGAGGCGCAGAAAGAGGGGAGGAAGGGCAGCCTATACATCTCAGAGCAGAGCACCTGCAGGGGGAAACTGAGGTGAAGCAGAGAAACATTTCCCTGTGGGGAGCGTCCTTGCTCTGACCTCACAGGCCAGCTCATGAAAGCCCTTCCGCACGCAAAGCCTCACTCCCACCTCCATTCTTGGCACTGTCTCCTGTCTTCCCCCTAATTGCGGACCCCCTCTCTCTCCCCTGCTCTTCCCTCCTCCTTGCTCCTTGGGAGGCATAAAAGCTGCGGTCGAGGAGCTGGGCCCCCAGAGAGCTGGGGAGAGCTGCCGACTCCAGTGAGGTGAGGCGGGGAGGGCATGCAAGGGTGTGGAGGGGGGCGCCCGGAGAAACGGGACATGCTGATGGGGAAGGCAGGGGCAGGCACGGGCCGAAGGGTCGCCAGGGGTGAACACCTCTGTGATTCTTGAGCCTTGGTCACTCGTGCGCCTGGGGTTCTGGGGGGCCATGTTTTACCTGTCTGGTATCCTATCGCTTACCTTCGGGGCTGTCCCTCAAGCAACGCTCTCGCTTTACTTAAATAAACGTGCTCCAGAGTGGAATGCCACAAAATCGGCCATAAACTCAGAAGTGTCCATTTTATTTTTCTGTCACGTATTTAAGGCAGGAAGACACAGAAGTTCATCTCTATTCCGCGGTACGGTATTGTGCATTTACATTTTGGTAGAAGTCGGACGGAGGAAGACGAACACCGCATGATCTCACTTCTGGGTCGAATCTGGAAACGACCACTCGGGGAACGAGATCAGAAGGGGGGTTAGGCAGAGGCGGGGTTGGCCCGAGAGCTCAGGTGTAAGGTGCAGACGTGCTGGGGACCCAGAGGGACGGCACAGTCCCCATAGTTGACACCGCCGTGTGGTATCTTTGCAAGCTGCCCAGAGAGAGTAGATCCCAAAAGTCCTCAACGCAAAGAGAAAACAATTTTTGTCGTAACTAGACGATGTGACAGATGTTAACTAAACTTACTGAAGGGACCCTTTTTCCAATGAACGCGTTAAGTCGTCATGCTGCGTGCCTCGAACTTACATGGTGTCGGATGCCCATTACAGCTCAAGAAAACATATGTCAGGAGGACAGAGCCCATGGTAACAAAACAAACAAAAACCTAAATCAAACAAGCAAAAAATCGCAAGGTAATGTTTGACGGTGATGGATATGCCTACCACCCTGATGATGGTGGTGGAATAGGGTGTATGCATGTGTCCGGATTCATCCAGAGGTGTATGTTCAGTGCATGCCATTTTTTTGTATAGCAATTATACCTTAATGACACTAAAAATATATAAATACACTCATCACCCTCTCTTGACAGCGTCCCGTAGCTCTAAGCGCCCACCCCTCTGGCCCTCAGATGGCTCCCTCTGTCCGTCTGGTCCTGCTTCTTACCGTCTTGCTCAGCCTGGGGGAGACTCCTGCCTCTGTACCTGTCCACCAGGTGAGACCTCCCTCCCCACCTGCAGCCTCCCCAGCCACTGCCCTCCTAGAAGAGCTTTCTGATTCTCCTGGCTGAGCCAGGAGCCACGGGCTGTGGGGTGCCTTGGCCCCGGATGGGGGTGCGGGATGGCGTGGGTTAAGACACCTGACCCAGGGGTCAGGAAGCAAAAATGTCCTAAGGATTAGCATTGCCCAGAAGTACAAAAAGATGCCTTCAGTGAGCTCCCAGTCATTCTAAGTTGTTCGGTCACCAAGGACTGGGCCCTGCCCCTAGGGTTTCTGCCAACCCCTGGATGATGCTACTGGCCTCAGGGCCACATTCGGGGAGTCCCTGATTGGGCGCATGGGCTGTGGAGACCCGGGTGAATTTGGAATGCTGGTGCTGTCACTTTTTAGCTGCGTGATTCCTGGCAAGTTGCCTAATTAACCTCTCTGTCCCTCCAAGTTCTTCGTAAAATCACAGCACCATGAGGGTTACCTGAGTTCCTCCGTGCCAGGTGCATTACCCGATCCAGAGGACCCAGGCTTGGCACTCCGCCACCCTGGGTTTGGGTCCAGCTACCTGTCTTGCTGCCAGGGTCCTCTGCAGGCTGTTTAAGTCTCTTGGAGCTTGCCGGGACCGGAGCCAGAGCTGGGCTGTCCCTCAGGGCCGGGACTGGAGCCGGAGCCAGGCTGTGGGTGGGTAGCCTGCACTGACCCCCAGGGTTGCACGCCCAGAAGGCACCCACATGGGTTTCGTGGTCTTCTTTTGCTGTCTCGACACCTTTCATTGTGTTTGAGCAAGGGGCCCCCTATTTTCATTTTGCTCTGCGCCCCTTAAATTATGTCGCCAGTCCTTAGAACAGACACTGGCACTTAGAAAACCCACAGTGAATATTAGCCACTGTAATTGTCAAAGGAACACAGCAGCTTGCCTAAAGCCATCCGGTGATGTCGCCTGGGTTTGAACGTGTGTGTGTGTGTGTGTGTGTGTGTGTGTGTGTGTGAGAGAGAGAGAGAGAGAGAGAGAGAGAGAGAGAGAGATTTGTGATGATATGCAGAGGCTTGTAGACGTGGTTTCTAAAGCTCTGTATTCATTCCCCGCTGCTACGTTTTAGGAAGCCTTCACTTCCCTCACTGGTGAAATGTGGACTAAGTGAACCCACCTGCCAGGCTCCTGGGAAGGTGGCAGCTGGCCCCCGTGGTCCCAGGCCTGGGGGACGGACGCCTCCCGGCCTTTCTGCCTGTCTGAGTCTAGATCTCTTGGTCTCTGTCCAGGGGCGAGGAGGCCGGACCCTCAACAGCGTGGGCTACCTCCTGGGTCCCGGTGAGTAAGCCCGCTCTGAGCGCCGTCCCTGACCAGTGCCTACCGGCGGTGGGTGGTGAGCCTGTAAAGACCCTCGGCTCACATTCCCTGAAGTCCACGGGTTTTCTTTCCAGACCCATGTTGACAGTTAGTCTAGCCAAGCGACGGGCGCATGGGTCCTGGAACCACAGTGCTGAGTTCAAATCCCAGCTCTGCCGCTTGCTTGGTGTGCGCGCCTTAGTCCCCTCAAACGTGACGATGCATACAGTGAGGCCCCCTGCTGCACACGGGGGTTAGAACAACTCCTGGTGTGTAGGGGTGCCAGGGGACACTCGGCGGTTACTCTCCCCCCTTTCATGCCCCTCCACCCCGGGGTCCCTGTTTCCCTGAGTGCGTCTTCACTGTGCACGCGTTGCGTATGTGGTGACGTGGAGGAACAATTAAGGCCATACGTCCCTGTGACGCTCAAAGGAAGGACCACTCAGTGGTCCAAGAAAACCCAGGCTCCCGGGACCGTGGGGCGGAGCAGCAAAGACTTGAGGTCTGGGTCCAGATGTAGGTGGGTTCGGCTCCCAGTGCTGCCACTTAGCCGTGGGGTAACGTTGGGCGACTGACTTGACTCTTCAGAGCCACAGCCTCCTCACTTGGCTGTGTGGATGCTCAAAAGACTTGCTGTCCCATGGATTTAGTGGTGGTGCTCTGTGCAGGGAACAGTGTTACAGGATTGCTGGATTCCCTGTGTGACTGTTGCCATGTCACAGACCACGGGCCCTGTTCTTCCCCAGTGCTCCACCTTCCCCAGAGCACGGACCACGGAGGGAAGGAGAAGACTGCCCTGGAGGTCCTACACCTGTGGAAGGCCGTTGGTGAGTGACTGTGGGGTTCATCTCCGTCACCCTCCTCCGCCTGCCCACTGCTGGCCTTGGAAACTGGCCGACGTGGGCTCCATCCCTTGCTCCCCCACTTGCTGGTCGGCGAAGCTTGGGGAAGGACAGTTCCCGGCCACGTAACACGTCTGAGATTCCCCCCTCCTTGCCATCCACATCTCAAGGGAAAGAATCACGGGGTGTGCGGGGGTTCAGACACCGACACCGGGGTAGGCACGCCGTGAATGCAGCCTGTGACCTGGACCGAATCTCCCCATTGTTGTCACCTACCAGGCAATCGCGCATATCTGGGGCCAGTTTCTCACCCCGGGCAGTGGTGCCCATGACTCTGCTGTGGGCCATCCAACGTGCAGGATGTTTAGCGGCATCCCTGGCCTCCACCCACCAGGTGGCCATAACACCTCCGAGTTGTGACAAGGACAGATGTCCCCACACATTACCAGATATCTCTGGGGAGGGGGAGGGAAGGGCAAAATGACCCAGGATGAGAACCACTAAGTGCCACAAATGCCAAGGAAATAAGGGAGCTATGGCCATGTTGCATGGTACAAAGCACCGAACCGAATGGCGCGGAGGTGGAATGACTTTTGGCTTTGTTCCCAGATGGGCTCCCCTATCCCCGCCCTCAGCGGGCCTCCAAAAGGAGCCTAAGGGAGACCTTTGCTCAAGCAGAGACTGCTGGTAAGCGCAGGGAACATGGAGGAAACAGGAGCTGGGCACAGGAGCGTTGAGAGCCAACTCTCAATGCCCACGCTGAGCGGGATGGCTCATTTCTGTTCTACCCCTTCACCTCACACCCCGCTTCCGGGCCCAACGCCCATTTTCCAGCCAATCCCAGATATTTCCCAACCTGGCACTGCAGTGATGACCCCACTCCCAAATCTTGATCTCCCTACTATCAGCCCCCCAGGCTTTAGCTACAACACTGACCGCAAACCCTCACTGCCAAGTCTGACCTCTCTCTTTATTCCAGCCTTTAAACTCACTCTGAACCTTGTACTCATCTCTACTCATGCTCAGGCGAGTTCTTCTACTGCCGTTCTGAATTCTGGTTTTCTTAGAACACTGGGTCCCTTTTACTCAAGGATCTTTGCACCAGCTGATGCCTCGGTCTAGAATGTTCTGTTTCTGGAGCTTTGCGTGGTGAGAACCTTCCGTCATCCAGGAATCATTTTAGCCACCTCTTCCACCTTAGAGTTTCCCACCGACCATTTATCTGACATGAACCTACTTTTTCTCTATTCTTGTCACCCCGTCTAATTTCCGTAGTGATGTTTGTCAGCATGTGCATCTTCTCTGTATCCTGTACTTATCTGCTTGTTTTCTGTCTTCTACCTCCATGTGTGTAGGGACCTCCCATGACTTGCTCACTCCCTATGCGCAGTGGTGCCTGGAAAATATGTGTTATTTTTTTAAAAGATTTTATTTATTTATTTGAGAGAGAGAATGAGATAGAGAGAGCCCCCATGAGAGGGGGGGAGGGTCAGAGGGAGAAGCAGACTCCCCGCCGAGCAGGGAGCCCGATGCGGGACTCGATCCCGGGACTCCAGGATCATGACCTGAGCCAAAGGCAGTCGCCCAACCGAGCCACCCAGGCGCCCGGAAAATATGTGTTAAAGGCATGAATTAAACTATCCGAGTGAAGGCTTCCCACCCAACTGTGACCTAAGTAAGTCAGCTTCGCCTGCCTCCAGCTGGATCTTTACCCCCAATTCCATCTCCTTCAACCCTAACCCTGTTTTTGGAAACGAACACCATGCTTTCATTCTAGCTCTACTAACCCATCTGGAAAGCGCCGAGTGGACATCCACCGGTGTTGGAGGTGACACACCTCCTGAGTTTATCAAGCCCCACACCAACCTTGGCTACCCTCTGGCTCTTGGAAACGCCCACCCCCACCACGTGCCATCTTACATGGGGTGGAAGAGGGAAACGTGTGGGTAGATGCAAAGAAAGGAAGGTAGAGCCAGAAGGAAAGAGGGAAAGAGGAGAGGGAAGGCAACTGGACATGGGATGAACCAAAGCCATCTTCCTCCCTGGTCTCGTTCCCAGCCTGGACTGGGTTGCGTGGCGGCGGTAAGCTTAACCGTTCAAAAGTCACCTCTTTCTCTCCCGCAGATCTGGGCAAGCTCAGCGATAAAGCCCCCAAGGAGGGAGATGCCCGCGGTCTTAGATGTCTCCAGACCTCTGCTCTGCATCCATCTCCCCAGCTCCTCCTGAACCCCTGTCTAGCTCCCCCCACTGAGACTGAGAGATCCTGAAGTCAAGTCTCTAAATGTCATGCAGAAAACTTAGAGCGTTGGGAGAATTTTCTTAAAAGTCCCCAGGCTGCCTCAGGTTTCAGTGATTTATCCTTGGAGTAAGTATAAAGCGTTGTTAACAAGCCCAAGAATTAATTCTGGAGCCGTTTAGGAGATTCGGGGTGATGAGGGAGTATCTCTGCAGTCCGTGTGAAGCAACTGTGTTCTTTTGGAATCAACCCAGTCCTAACAGGAGCTACTGACTGATACGATATGAATATCCCATTTGCCTCCGAGAGTCTATGATGTCTTGACTCGAGAAGACTCTGCCAAGTAGCAGGCATGCCTTCCCTCTTTCCCCCACCCCAGCCCAGCGTTCTCCAGCTGGAAACGGGGAGACGTACTCCAGAGCAGAGTGGAGAGAATGAAACATTTCTTTTCAAATCATCCATGACTTCTTGTGTTAGCGTGGGAATTCGTGGCGGTGGCAAATCCAAGGCGGAGAGGGTTAGGTGTGGGGCAATATATCCTGTGGGAGGCAGTGGATCTCGGATTATCTCATGAGCAAGCCTAATTACAATTCGTTTCCACCAGCCGTCCATATCTGGATACCTGACCTACTCTCTGTTCATTAGTTCGTTCGTTTTAAAACTTTTACACATTTTTTTTTAAAGATTTTATTTATTTATTCATGAGAGACAGACAGAGAAAGAGAGAGAGAGAGAAGCAGAGGGAGAAGCAGTCTCCCAAGGAGCAGGGAGCCCGATGTGGGACTCGATCCCAGGACCCTGGGATCATGACCTGAGCCGAAGGCAGACGCTTAACCATCTGAGCCACCCAGGCGCCCAAAACTTTTACACATTTTGAAGCTGTTTTGTCATCATATATGTTTATAAGTTTTATAGGTCTCTGGAGGAATCTTCTCATCATTACGTGATGCCTCCCTTAATCCCTCTTAATGCCTTTTGCTTTTGGACCGATCTGGGGTGGGCCACATGCCTGGTGCCTCGATGACTGTGGGTAGGAGGATAAATTGGCCCGGTGCCTGCATGGTAGTCAGGGCTCTGGCCTTATTATCTGGGACATTCATCGAGGCCAAGCTGCTGTAACAAAGAGCCCCCAGGGCGCCTGGGTGGCTCAGATGGTTAAGCATCTGCCTTCGGCTCAGGTCACGATCCCAGGGTCCTGGGATCGAGTCCCACATCGGGCTCCCTGCTCCTTGGGAGCCTGCTTCTCCCTCTGCTTCTCTGTCTCTCTCTCCCTCTCTCTCTCCGTCTCTCATGAATAAATAAATAAAATCTAAAAAAACAAAAACAAAAAAAACAAAGAGCCCCCAACATGCAGTAGCACAAACAAGATACACATTTGTTCTGCACTCACAGAACGGTCCAGAAGGAGGCAGTGTGGGGCTGGCAGGATGGCTCTGCCATCTTTGGCCATGAAGCTTCATCTCTGGGTCCGAGAGGGTTGCCTCACCGCTTCCGTGAGGTAGGAGGCCAGAGGGGACACACCTGATTCTTCCAAAGAAAAGTCTTTGAAAGGCACGTGTGGTGTTTCTTAGCCACAGGGAGGCTGGGAACCATCGTCCTGAGCTGGGGGTACCTGCCCACTTAAGAACACAAAATAATGGAAGAGATGGATGGAGGTGGATGGATATTCAGTCACACGATCTGAGCTGCCATTGTCCTTTGGATTTGCCTCTCTCTCAGCAACACCACACGGCAGGGCTTGCTCACGCAGGATTCTGACCTTCCCGGGTCTCTGGCCGTGTGCGATCTAATATCAGAAATCTCGTTTCAAGCCCTTAGCAACTTTAACTAGCAGAATGGGAGGACAGAGGCAGCATCAAGCCCCGGGGACAAAACAAGACCCAGGCCCTCCCTGCCTTGGAGGATCTCATGAAGGGAGAAACCAGACAAACGAGTCAACGGATGCAGGGTAGAGACAAGGCTTTGAGAGCAGGGGCACACAGGGACCAGGGCAAGGAGCCTCTGACCAGCTTTGGGAGGGCAGAGACCACCTGGGATGCTATAATCCCGGAAGGTGGTAAGAAGCAGTCACATTCTGGATGTATTTCAAGGCTGAGCTGATAGACTCCCCAACGGACTTGCTGTGGGATTTGAGAAAGTGAATCCCTATTTTTTGGTCTAAGCAACTGGAGGGATGGAGATGCCCTTGAAGGTTATGGGAAGCATGCACAGGAAGGAAGGTTTTGGAGGAAGAGCAGGAGCTCGATCTGGGACACGGTAAGCTTGCGATGCCTACTGGTTATATGCAGCTGGGGGTGGGGGATGGGAGTTGGATGTGCAAATCTGGAGCTCGGAGGAGGGGTGCAGAATGGGTATATAATTGGGAGCATTGTCAGTACTTAGATGGTACTCGAGGAGAGAAGGGGTCTAAGGGCGGAGCTCTGGGGATTCGATAGGTTGCTGGTCCCGATGATGTTCAGAGGCAAGGGACGTGGAGGGGGGTTAAAGATGCAGAGGCACTCTGGTTACTGGGGGTGACTTCATGGGGTGTGTGGCGGAGGGTCGAGAGCATGTCATGGGGCCGAGGGCACCGGGCATGGGAATATCCAAGAATTATAATAGCAGTAATGTCCAGAGGCAGGAGCCCAGCCCTCCAGGGAGTGAGGGTGAATGCCTGACGGACACTCAGAGGAGGCTGAGGGTTAGGGAATTCTCCTTGGAGAAGACATTTCAGGAGTTGGGAGGCAACGGGGGTACTGCAATGGGGGATATCCAGAGTCGGGTTATGTCTGGGGCCTGGGGGCTGAGGCGTGGCTGGGGGGGGGGCGGCTAGCCTTCTTTTGGAAATGGACAAAAACGTAGGTGAAGGATATATTGAGATGAGCCCTCATGGCTCCGGGCAGATGATAAGTCTGAGAGCACAGAGGGGAGGGAGGAAGGGTTGGGGTCTTGTCCGGGTGCTGGGATTTTACCCATACTGATGGGGGCTCGGAGCCCCCCAGAGGACTGGTCCTAATGGGGCTCATATCGCAATATACTCATACTACAAGAATCCCCATTGTTCATCTTTAGTCCAAATGTACTTGTATATCCCAAATGTTGCGTGGGACATACTTAATGCCAAAAACTGTTTGTGGCTTATCTGAAATTCACATTCAACTGGGCATCCTGAATTTTCACTTCCCAACAGTCATAAGCCAAGATAGCTTCCTTCTCAGAGTGCCATCGGTACCCGACTGTCCAGGATGCAGGTCACTGTCCCGGGGTGGCTGTGGGGTCAGAGTCCCATCCCTAGACATTACTCTTCACTCCTTCTCGCGGGCTTGGGAAGGAAAGGGCTGACCCTGCCCTGCCCAATCTCTCAGCACGGCTCAGCTGTCTCCCTCCCAGGCTGGAGGGCTAGGGCCACCAAGGGCCACTTGCTGGACTGGTCTTTCCATGCAGAGTGAGGGGGAAGCTGGACCAGAGCCCTAGAGCTGCCCCCACATCTCCCCTGCAGGGGCAGTGGGGAGGAGAGTGGGTCCTTGGAAAGGGAGAGGGATTTCCTGCCAGGTGCAAATCGCCCTCCATGTGTCCTGCTGACTGATGACTGAGTCCTAATGAGCAGAGACAGTTGCCTGGGCCCAGAGATCAGGTGAGGGACACAAGTGAGTAAGGGGAAGGCCCTGGTCCCTCCTTAATCAAGTTTCCCAAACTGGTGTCTTTAAAAGTATTTAATTAAGGGGTACCTGGCTGGCTCAGTCGGTGAAGCATGTGACTCTTGATCTCGGGGTTGTGAGTTTGAGCCTCACATTGGACATAGAGATTACTTAAAAATAAAGTCTTTAAAAATTAATTAAAAAAATCTTTAACTGGGGGCACCTGGGTGGCTCAGTCGGTTAAGCGTCTGCCTTCGGCTCGGGTCATGATCTCAGAGTCCTGGGATCGAGCCCCATGTCGGGCTCCCAGCTCCGCGGGAAGCCTGCTTCTCCCTCTCCCACTCCCCCTGCTTGTGTTCCCTCTCTCGCTGTGTCTCTTCAAATAAATAAATAAAATCTTAAAAAATAAAAAAAATAAAAAACTTTAATTGTGGCAAATACATGTAACATGAAACTTACCATCGTTTTTTTTAAAGACTTATTTTATTTATTTTAGAGAGAGAGAGCGCGCGCCAGCAGAGGGAGGGTCAGAGGGAGAAGCAGGCTCGACGTGGGGCTCAATCCCAGGACCCTGAGATCAGAACCTGAGCCAAAACCAAGAGTCAGATGCTTAACGGACTGAGACACCCAGCCGCCCCTGAAATTCACCAACTGAACCACGTTTAAGTGTCCAGTTCAGTGGCATAAAGGACTTTCGTACTGTGCAACCGTCACCACCATCCGCAAAGCACTTTGCGCCTTGCAAAACGGAAAGTCTGCCCGCATTAAAGGACCACTCCCCAGGAACCCAGCCCAGCTCCTTGGCACCACAGTCCTGCTTAATGTCTTCAGTCACAGCATCTGTCCTTTTGTGTCTGAATTACCTCTCTTATCATAATGTCCTCAAGCTTCATCCCTGTTGTGGGGTATGGTAGGATTCTCTTCCTTTTAAGGCTGAATAACATTCCCTATCTCCTGGGTGCTTAAAAAAAAAATCCTGTCAAAGCCCCACCCTAAACGGAATAAATCAGACCAAATGATCGGAGGATGGGGCAAAGCCATGGGTGGTCTTGTTGGCTCTCTGTGTTCCTGGGGAACGCTGGCTGAGAACCTCAGGTGTATCGAGTGCTTCCTTCCACTGAGGCCCCTATCTGAGGTTTTACTTGGTAGGATTACACCGGAGGGCGCGTGAACTGTGGATTAACCTGTCACTGAGAGCACTGGGGCTAGAACAGGTCAGTGTCTGGCTTACTGGACTTTGCCAGGTTTATCAGCTAGAGTCAGTACCCCTCTTCTGGGGTTTCTCAACCTCGGCACTCTGGACATTTCGGTTGGGATCATTCTTTATGTGGGGCCGTCCTGTGCATGATAGGATGTTGAGCAGCATCCTGGTCTCTATGTCAAGATGGCAGGAGCACCCTCTCCCCAGTTGTGACAACCAAACATGTCTCTAGACATTGTTGAATGTTCACGTGGGGCAAAATCACCCTGAACTGATAAATTATCCTATCCTAAAGGATACTAACTCATGGGGCCAAATAAGGACACAGCTGATTAAAAAAAAATCAACAAAGAGGGGCGCCTGGGTGGCTCAGTCGTTAAGTGTCTGCCTTGGCTCGGGTCATGATCCCAGGGTCCTGGGATTGAGTCATCGGGCTCCCTGCTCAGCGGGAAGCCTGCTTCTCCCTCTCCCACTCCCCCTGCTTGTGTTCCCTCTCTCACTATCTCTCTGTCAAGTAAATAAATAAAAATCTTTTTAAAAAATCAACAAAGAATATAAAAGCTGGGTTACAGCTACTTTCAGAAACGGGGGTAT